GGCCGGGACCGGCTCGCCTGGGCGCGGCAGTCGTCGGCGGCGACGACAGCGGCCGGCGGCGCCACTCGGCGGGGCTCGGCGGCACCCGTCGCCCCGTCAAGGCGCGTGACGGGCCGCCCGCCGCGCCGGCAGCAGCGCGGAAGAGCCCAGTCCCACAGGCCGGCTGCTGGATTATTCATCGCGTCGGCCAGTCGTGACCGTTCCAGGAGGGGATGAGATTGGGCACTAAATATACACCAGCCGGCGGGAGATGTGGTCAACAAGGCCATCCGTAGCGCGGACGGCGACAGCGTGTTTACGAGACGACAGCCAGCAAAGGTCACCCGTCCCGCCACCATTTGTTGCCCGCATGCCGAGAGAGAACGCCTCAACACCCCACGACCGGAGCTGCACCTCGCGAGACGCCCGGGTCGGGGTGGCCGCGGTCCGTTAGTGGTCGCGGTCATGCCCTGCGGCGCTGTCAGCGATCCCAGCTCCGCCAGGTGTGATGTCCGTGACACACCAGCAGCATGACAGCGATGAGTCTAGCCTGGCGCAATGGCCTGGTCTACGAGGTAGTCTTTGATTGTTTATCGGTGTTTTACGGCGCGCCCACTGTCGAGGTCACGCCGCCGCGCCCGTGTGAGATGCCTTTGTTAAGCCACTCACGACACCAGCGGGCTAGGATGGCCGCCATTGTGGCCGTGTCTGACGGTTTAATATGGTCGGCACCTGAGCCCAGTATGACCCGGGCAACGTGAGGCGTCGGCGACCCCGGCGGCGTCAGGCGTCCGCGATCTCGGCGGCGGGGCGGAGGGCGCCGATCAATCAGCGCGGCGGCACAGGTGAGTCAGAAGGGGACCGAGTCACCTGGGCGGCGGACGGGCGATCGATGCGCCGTCGCCGCCCTTCGGCCGGCCGTGCCCGCCCCGGCGCCTGGCTGACGGCGTGCCCTGCTGGCGCCCTGACGTGCGTGCGGTCCTGCGCCCGACCGCGGCCGGGCCACAGCCCCGGTCACAGACTCCCGCCGGTCCCGCCGCCTCCGCAGGCCCCGCCGGGTCTCCGCCCGGAGACCGGCGGAGATCACCGATTGTGATCTCCGGAGACCGGAAGATCACAACCGTCGTCTGACGGGCGGCGCGCACCTCACCGATGACCCGTGCTTCAGCGGGCGCCACAGACGCCACCCGCGGCTGTCCACGGCGGCGGCGGCGGCGGCGGCGGCTAACGAACGCACCACGCTGGCACAATCGGACCCGATCGGCACACACGAGCGGCGTGCTGGGCCGCCTGCTCCGCGGCGCTCTCCGCCTTCCCGCGGCGGCGGGTCGGCCGTGCCGGACGCGGCCCGCGACGGCGCCGTAATTGGTGTCCGGCGGTCGGCGCGCCGACGCCATGAATAAGAACAATGCGGCGCGCCTGCCGCCGTGCGTACTGACGACCCGTACAAAGGCGACGGGATGGCGGACAGACGGGCGGAGCGAGCGAGCAGCGGCAGGAAGTCCGGCCGCTGCTCCCGGCTCACGGTTGGCCTCGCTGCCTCCGACCCGCGAGAGACGCAGACCCGCCGCCGCCCCAGCCCCCAGCGTGTCTCGGGCGATCCCGCAGCCCCGCAGCCACCGACCTTTCCGAGCGGAGTTTTACTACCCACGTTCCCTTCGTATCGACATGACCATGGCGTCCGCACGCTGTAAAACCGAGCAGTCAATGCGCCCTAAACCCCAAAATCGACACTGACGTGACGCCCAATCACTTCCCAACCCCATCAATGACACTCAGCTCTGCCTACCGCTGCGCGCCACCGCGCCTCGATCCGCCGGGCTCCTGTGAGAGACCATGGCGGGAGGCTGAGCGCGGCCAGGGCGCGCCGCATCTCAATTACGTCGGCCTCGAGCGGCCGCCACGTCGCCGCTCCATTACGGGGCGACATCACGCCGTTAGCGACGTCCATCTGGCCATTACACGTCATCATCGTTATCACGTGGCGCCGCATCCTGCAGGCGGCAGGCGGGGCGCAGACGGACGCCGAGGGCGTGATCTGGCGCATCGCCGCTGCCACAGGAGCAGGAGGCGCGCGATAGACGGCGGCGGGCTGTCCGCGCCGTGAGGCGGGTTATCTACCAGGCGGTGGCCGGTGCTGGCCATACAGGCACGCGGCCGGCATGAGATGTGATGTTCTATCCTAACCTGACGCCTCGTACGCGGCGACCATGCTACAGCACACAGTCCGCGAGCTCCTGCGCGCCTCGTCTGCGGCGCGGCATGTCCGCTCGTCTCGTCGCCCCGCTGACGGGATCAGATAGCCCGAGGACCGGGGGCCGGCGGTGGTATGTCACGACTGGCACGGGTCAATGGAGGCGACTCGGCCGCCCGCCACCCGCCACTACACGAGCGCTCAGCCGCGCCGCCACCGCTGTCCTTGTCACAGCCAGCAGCGCGACAGCAGGACCGCCCACACGGCGCCGTCGTGTATCCCGCATCATCAGCACAGCGTCAGGGCACCGCTGCCGGCGAAGGAGCGCCTGCGGCGACAACTGTGCGAGCTCGGGCCGGCCCCCGCTGACCGCCGCTGGCATCCTGGCGACCTGCCGGCCGCCCGGCAGCTTGTGTCGCCGCTGGCCGCCGCGTACTGGCACTGGGTCAGTGCACAGCTCCGTGCGGCCGTGCATGGCCGACGTCACGGTCCGTCGCCGATCAGGAGCCGATCAGGGCCTGATCAGGAGTCAGCTCGCGGCCAGCACCGCAGCTGCAGCCCGGCACGACGTCGGTCTTCTGCTCCCGAGGTTCAGTATTCCAGGTGCAGTTTGGCCGACGCTGCGTGGCGGCCGGCCCGTAGCAGGCGACACCGGCGGCGGCGCGGCCGTGCTCCCCGTTCCCGTCAATGTCCCCGAGACGGAGAAGCCCAGCGGCCGGACCGGCGCGACGCGGCGCCGCTGCGGCCGGACGGGCCGGCGGCAGCAGTCGCCGCGCCGGACAATGTCCACCACAGTGGCAGGTCTCTCCGCCGAGGAGGATCGCCGGCCGGTGCCGCGTCGCCGCTCCGGCCGCGGCCGGCGGGCGGAGAGCCGAGACTCTCGGAGCCCGGCGGTCGCAAGCGCGCACCGGGCGGCGTCCGCCGGCTGACGCGGGACAGGGCGTGACGCTGGTGGAGCCGGCTGGATCAGCACGGACGCGGGGGATGGCGCTGACCAGGCTCTGCGTGCGCCGGCCGTGAGGTTGTCTGCCTCCGTCGACGCCGGTCGTCGCCGGCCACGGGCTCTGCCGGACGCAGGCAGGCGGGCGGCTGGTGGCCAGACGGCCTGGGGTCGACCGGCCGCGGCTGACTGACCTACTCTGGCCGCGCCGGCCGAAAACACGGGGGGCCATCTGGGCGGCAATCACCGCCGGCCGATCCCGACCAGACACCGGGCACACGTGACCGCCTCGTCTCCCCTCCCCTAACCCAGCGGCACCGCCGCGCCACTGGGGCCACAGACGCTTCAATGTGAGCGCCACCTCCACGGTCAGTCCCGTGGAGTACAGTCCCGGCGGCGACGGTACAGTCCCAGCGGTCCCAGCTTCTCCAATGGTTCTCAGCCCTGGGTTCTCTGTATTTGAGCCCAGATGGATGCGGTCGAGTGCAGCCCACAACCACCACATCTGCGCGCTGGAGGACAACGATAGAGCCAGACGCGAAGGGATGCGCACCAGCCTGTCACATTTGCCAACACTGCCTCCCACAGAGGACGGCGCCCGGTCAACAACTGCAGCCCCGCCGCCCGACCAGTCGACACCGGCTACAGCTTCAGCGGCCATCTGGAAGGAGCGGCGGCGCGAAAAAACCGCCCGTCCACCGGCGGAAAGCACAAACTTCAATGACGATCGATGGTCCAATCCCGCGCACCCGGCGCGCCAAATCTCCTTCGGAGATACGGCGCGCCAGATCCCACTCGGAGATACGGCGCACCAGCCGCCGAATCGGGACAGGCACGGCACGCTAACGGCCTCTGCCCCGGCGCGAATTACCGCCCATCCGCACAATATCCGGATATAATGGTACCAAGAGGTGCCGGCAGCGCCGCAGACCACGCTCGTAACTGCTCCCAGAATGGTGCGCGGAACGTCACGCGACGCTTCAACCCCGATCAGGAGTGGCGACCCCACGCGTGCCCGGGCACCGGAGAACCCGAGGCGGCTGGCTCACGGACCGCGGTCCAGCTCGCAGGGAGCGGCTCTGACCAGCGCGGCTGGCCGCTGGCGCCGTCTGTTTTTCTCGAGGATCAGCCGACGCGGCGCACGCGGCGGCCGAAAAACCGCCGGCCGTCGTCAGGCCTCGGCGCCGTGAGGCTTCCGACGAGGCTGCGGCAGCGCTGTGTCGACGCGACGCGAGGACGGGCAGCACACGTCGCCGGCGAGACGGCTTCTCCGGTAGCGTGCCAACATCCGGTCAGCCAGTACGGAAGGCTCCCACTCGGCGACGATCGTCGGCGTCGCACTGACCGGCGCACTCAGCCCGCGGCAGCACGCGCGAGAGAGACCAGACAAGGCCGAGGAGCGCGAGCGGCGGTCGCGCCACTCGCGGAGCCCGGGACAGCGGCGCTGCCCTGCCGCTGGACAGGACGGGTCGTGCCCACCGACAGCGGCGACCGGTCGGCGCCGCTCGTTAACAGGCCATGCTGCGGTCACGGCGCGGGCCGGCGCCCACTGCGGACAAGGCCCCCATGAGGCCGATACCATCTCGGCGCGGCACCCCAACCAGCCAGCGGCGCGGCGACCCGCCCAATTAACGCCCTCCCGGCTGCTGCAACACGAGACGCGCCGCCGTCCGGAATATCAAGCAGCGGCGCGGTCACCTTCGTGGGCGCGGCGCCGTCCGCAGAGACATCTCGCGGAAGAGCCAGCCACCGCTAAGGCCATCAACGCCCACGAGATGTCAGTGCTGCCCCGTGCACGGCGGCAGCGCCTGCAGACGTTGCGTGTTTGCACGGCTCACGGGCGTTCCCCGAACCGGCCCGGCAATACTGGGAGAGCCGGCGACTCACCTCGAGGCTGTCATCGAGCGGCTCCAGGTTCTCCTCCAGCGGCAGCTCCGGCAGGCACGAGTACTTGCGGTCGTAGATGCACTTGTGCAGCTGCGAGTCGAGCAGCCGCAGGTTGTCATAGCTGCGGCGCAGCACCCACGAGCGGCCGAACGACGTCACCTGGAGGGAGAGGTAGCTGGCCGCCTCCTCGTCCGACGCGTGCGACACCGACTTGAGCTCCTCGTCGTACAGCTGCACCTGTATGACGGGCGCGCCGTCAGACCAACAGACGCGCTGCCGCACATCCAGCGGGTGGGAGGCTCGCGCGGCTGCACCTGTTGTAGAGAGGATAGAGAGGAGCACGACCGCCTTTGAGTGGTCGCGCCCCGCGTGCTACCTGCCTACAGAACGCCATGAGGCCTGCGGCACGGGGCGAGCCCATACGGCTGGTCTCGGAAGGACGAGGAAGGGAGGGAGCAGACGAGGCCTGACGAGGCGGACATGACTGGACCGGGTCGAAAACGGCGTAAGGCGACGGCGACGCAGGATACGTGTACGTTCCCTCGGCCCTGTGTACTTGCCACGGTACCGTCTTCAAATTGTCAACTTCGATACATTGATATGTGGTAAGCTATTGTGCATATCGACTGGTGACCGAACTCTGACAATCTACCTAAAAGACCAACACCTAGATGAGTACGACATCGTCGTCGCCGTCATTGGGACTTAACGACGCACTCAGCTGCTAGGGCTATATGACGTCGCCTGCCTCTCATCCTGGCAGGAAGGGCGGGCACCGCGGGGATTCGAACCTCGTACCTCTGGTTTCCTGGACGCGCAGTGGTTAAGGACGACTTAGCGTTAACTCAGCTTAGCGACTCAGACGCGCTACGCAGACGCGTTAACCACTACACTACTGGCACCGTACGACATAGAATGACATTGTACATAGGTAGGCGGGTGAGATGTTTGACGACGCTGTGCGTAGAAATCCCGCGGCGCACGAACCACACGGTACACAAAAAAGGTGGGCGGGCAGGTTATTAATAGTCACACACTTCTTTAGATAGCCTACTGAAGAAATCTGTACAGATTATTTGTCAAATGGGACAAAAGGGGGGGGGGGGCAAAAATAATTTGTATAAGCCTAAACCTCAGAGCAAGAGCCACACATCTTAAGACAAGCGAAAGACAACCGCTAGATCATGTCGCGGCACCCAACTCTGCGACGACGCAGGTCATTCCCGACGACGCGGGTTGCGCGACGACGCAGGTCATGCAGACCGCGACCTAACCAGCTCCCACAATCAATGCCTCTGGATCATCTAACCACACTGGGGACCTCAGCGATGACAAACCCTACAATCACACATGACACAAGAACAACCAAAATACTAACAACATAATTTCGGTCATCACTTGCTCCCATCTTCCATTACAACGACAGCAAAACTCGCAACATACTTTCGGTCATTTGTCTTTATCTATCTTCAGTTAAACTGAGAGCCCGTTAGGCTCTCGATCACGAGACCTGTCGCGCTGGCGGCTGCCACGCGCTCAACTGCACAACGGCGGCGGCGGCGGCCGCATCACTGACCAGAAGCGGACCCAGCTCGACGACCTCGTAGTGGAAGTGGGCGCACTCCTCCAGCTTGGGGAAGCGCGGTTCGCCGACCGGAGGCCGCGTGCCGGTCAGGTGCTGGATCCGGATGCTGCCGCGGGACGTCTCCATGTCCGACGACAGGCACAGCCCGCTCTGCGAACGGGGACACGGTGAGGCGGCGTCCGCAGCGGACGCGGGTGGGCGGCAGCGCGACTCTCTGCTGCGAGCGGCGTGCACAGCGAGAACCGCCCGCCATGGTCAGCACATGGCTGGGCTTCGCGCCGATCAGCGCCAGCAACGGCCGAACACGTGACTTGAGACCGTCCACATGCAAGGCGGCAACAATGGTGCAGAGTGTCGTCCTCGCAGCAGCGCGTCTCAACGTTTCACGGCAGATAACACGTTTGAGACACAAACGACACCTTCGCCCCGCTCCACCCCCTTCACCCACATCACACCGACGCCGTCCCTCTGCGGCCGGCGGCCGGCGCGGCGGCAGCAGAGGCCGTGGAGGGCGGCGGAGCACCGCTCCCGCCCTGACCAGCCACCCTCGTCGCCGGAGCAGGCGGCAGATGACCGACGCCCGCGCCCACTGTATCCATCACACGTGAGCGATCGTCTTCTTGTGCGGGGGCTGATGACCCGCTCTTCCGCCGTAAGCGTGGGGGTCGACGACAGATGTGGGGGGGAGAGAACACTCCTCGCTAGTGGATAGATGAATATATTGTGGAAAGACGGGACAAAAAAAAAAACAAGAACAACGGTCCTAGCCTCCAGCCTCGTCTCTCGCTTCCCGTTCCTCCCATTCAACGCGAATTACCAATTCGCCTGCTATCAACAACCCGACAGACGCATCACAATCTCCCGTATCAGCCGCCTACTCTCTACCCTGCATCTCCATATCCATCTCCATCTCCATCTCCATCTCCACCTCCACCCCCACCCACCCACCCTCCCCCGCTCTTCTCCGCCCTCCGGGATCGTGTCATCTCGGCGATTAGCGTCAGCCCTGTCCGTCACCGCCCTCGTTAGCGCAACACGAGCGACCGCCGCTTCCCCGTGCCAGCCGGGTCAGCCGCCGCCGCCGCCGCCGCCGCCGGAGCGTGCCGCCAGGGCCCGGTCCGGCCGACGACCAAGACCGGCCCCGCACGGCACCGCCCGCTCGGCGCTCGGCTGCCCTCCCACCTCTCTCCGTCTCCTTCTCTCTCCCTGTCCCGACCCACCCCGGCGGCGGTTCCGCACGGCACAGCAACTCTGCCGCTCGATTTCGGGTCCCCCCTCCCCAGCCGCCGCCTGCCCCCGGGCCGGGAGGCAGACACCGTCGGGAGATGTGAGCGGGGCGACCGACGCCGAATCAGTCGCCGTTACCGCGATATCCGGCGCGGAGATGGGTCGGCACGGAGACAAGCCGTTTGTCTGCGCTTCTGACGGACTTGCAGACGGCGGCCACATCAGCAGGCTAGGGATGTGCCGCGTAGGAAAGACAGCGGCGGGGACGCGACCGGAAACGAGGCTGAATGAAAAATGACGGCCTCTGGGCGACCGTGCCTCCAGACGAAATATCTGAGCTGGGAACACGACTTAAGCGGACGGACTGGGCAAAACATCCCTCTTGGACTAGCGTTTGGGCAATGATATGCCACGCAGGCTTTCTCCCGCATCGGGGACCAACCAAGCACGTCGCCAAACACGTGCGTGCCGTTGTCAAACATCATCCTGCGCGTGAGTCGAGCCCCGCCAGCCGCGGACGCCTTTTCCCTCCCCAGGTGCCAATGTCATTGCCCCAGCGCCGGCCCTGCGGTGCCCCGACCCGGTCGATAGCAAACGGGCCCTGTGGCGCCAGCCAGCGCTACAGTGCAACGGCGCCCAGCGCCGCCGAGGCCGCCCGGTGTCATCAGCACCGCTCCGGCGGGCGGGGCCGCCGCCAGATGGCACCACAGTCGGGCGGCGGCGCACCTGGGGACCGACACGAGGGGGGGGGGGGGGAGAGGTGCGGAAAAGTCTTGCCCTAGTCTTTTCTTCGAAAGCAGAAAAGACTAGGGCAAGACCCGACTAAGATGACGAGGATGTATTATTTCAGCCTAGAATGATCCTCGCGAGTCCGGACTGCGGGAGGGGAGCGAAGCACTAGAAGAAGGCGAAGTGGAACAGGTCACTCTGAGAAACAGGAGAAGGCGGTGCGGAAGTGGAGCGGAAGGGAACGAGAGATAGGCGGAGCAGATAACTTTCAACACTCAGCACGCCAGCAGCTGGCCACAACAGCCAGCACTCGGCAGCGGCCTGGCAGCGTCCAGTCTGACTTAGTCAGCCGTCTGAACTCACAGCCAAGTTTGCCAGGCCGCAGCTGGGAGCGGCTCTTTGTGGCCGACTTGGCTTTTGCCGCCGGCCGCTGGCTTAGGCGCCTGGATAAGCACTGGAGCGCAATCGTGCATGCCTCGGGCAGCTGTCGGTAATTCCGGCCCGCCCGCGAATTCCTTCGCTCATGTAACTAAGCCCCTGCACACCATTACGTCCAACGCGGCGGACCAAACAAAACACCGGCGAGCCAACGCTTAGATCCAGGCAGCGTCCGATCCGCCCAACGAACCCACCAAAAACAGCCGCTCACTCCCGCTCCGGTGGAACTCCGCCCGCGCCGACGGGCCGGCGGGCGCCCCACGCACGAGACCACCCGGCGGAGGATCTTCCTGCAGCGTGTCACCAACGCCCCCGGCCGCCACCTGGGCGGTGCGGCCGTCGCCGGCGCGCGCGCGAGGAGCACGCGTGACAAACGAGCGGACGTGCCTCACCCGTCGAGAAACAGGTGTCGGCCGCGACGCGCGAGGGCTGCTGGCCCAGAGGCGGGGCGGGGGCGGGCCTCACGCACCGGCCGCCGGGCCCGTGCGGTGAGCTTCCGAGCGGGACGCTGACACCCGAGCAGGCCGGCCGGGCGCTGCAAGGAGGCGCTCAATACCCGGGAGGGACGGTGCAGCGCGCTGAAGGACGGCGCCGGCCGCGGATAACAGCCGGGCTCCTGTCTCCGCCCTCTGACTGATGGAGGGACCAGCCCGCCGCACGGACGACGCGGGAAGGGCGCTCGGGGCAGGTGCGTGTGGGTGTGCCTGGCACGCATACTAAGATTCGGGGATGCCAGAGCGTGAACGTCACGTAGTTCGCAAGTTTCGGTGCGAGTCGTGCCGGTTTCTCAAACTGGGCAGTATATTCCGTATATCCTACCGTCGTGTTACGTGTATGGCTGTGCAATGCCATGCGAGATATCCGCATCCCACTTTGACAGACGAGGCGGAGACACCCACTCACCACATGCCTTACGCACGCTATGGGTTCCCCCAGTTCCGGTCTGCTCAACGTGCGAGAGATGTGGTTGGAGCCATCACCGACCATAGCCAGCATGGCTGTCTTAGGGCGCGCAGCCGCAGTGGCTATGCTGCGCCCATATGGACGCTCTAGATACACTAGCGTCCAGATGGGTGCTAGTGTATCTAGAGCGGCACTCCATCAGGCACTGCTTCCCTTCCGTGGCCTGCGGACGACAGCGCGTCTCGTCCTCTTGACAGAGCCGTGACACAGAGGCTGTCGGCACGCATGCTGGCAGACAGACACGGCTGTCTGCCGGTTGGCCTACTGAAGATCCTCACATCGCGAGGGAGATCCTCAGCCCGCGCTGCACGCCCTCACAGACTTGGCCGCGCGAAACACCGCAACCAAACCCCTCAACCTATAACCGAGTTGGCTAACTACTAAAATGGATGCTCACTCGTCCAAACGTGCCTACAGCTGAGCAGAGGTCACCGCCTCAAAGCTGGACCGAAGGTCCACGTCACACTCACAAAGAAGGCCCGGCGGCATCAGAGGCCGGCGGAGCGGCGCCGCCGCGCTCGTCGCCCTCTGGCGGACACCGAGCCGCCTCCCGTACCTGGCAGACGGGCAGCACCGCCGGCTTGCAGCCGCAGAACACGCCCAGCGTATGAAGGAGCACATCAGGCTGTCGGCGATCTCCCAGAGGCCGAGGGCCATGTCGCGGGGCCGGCGCCGCACCGGATCATCGACACCGACTCACGCCGACGCCACCTGACCTCCTTGGGGGTCAGCGCGGCGGCGGAGGGGCCGGCCGCGGACGCGAGGTCACCGCCCGGGGCGGGGTCATGACTACCGCGGCGCAGGAGGCCGACCGTATGGTGCCGCGGCCCCGAGGGCGGCGGCGCACGCCGGCCGAAGATCGAGCAACACGCGAGAGACGTTCGCGGCCCGCACAACAGGAGCTGTACACCTCCACGCGCACTGCCCGGTCCCCGCACACGCGCGCGGCCCACCCGTCACGTTCGCACAGCGGGGTTCCAGCGCACCCTCGCCGAGGGGCCGTGCTGGCCCGGGTGACCCGGCGCGCCGGAGGGCAGCGGTGGCCGTGCGGGCGCCGACGCCCGATCTGGGTTACTGAGAGCAGCAGCGACGCCGCCGCCGCCGGCGGCCGGCCGGCAATTGATCGTCGGAGTCGACAGCGGCGCCGACGGCGGCCGGCACTGCAGCGTGTGGTACCGCCCGCCCCCGGGAGCGGCGCCGCTCACCGACAGCCGGCACTGTACGCTGGTCGCGGTGACAGTGCCGCACACTGACCAACGATGCAGTGACCGCGGGTCGACCGACGAGCGGTGTGTACAGTACAGTGAGCCCTGACCGGAAGACCGCACGGCTCACTAGCCGGGCGCCCGTGGAGGTTCGCTGGCCGGGGTCTGTGCGGTAGTGACCGGCGGTCTCTGTGACGCCCCACCAGCGGACCACACACCGATCGGCGGGACGGGGGTGAGGGCGGGCGCAATGCACACCGTCTGCGCCCGACAGCTGATCACGCGCGCGCTGCTTCCAACGCGACAGCTGGTGACGTGTGCGCTGCTTCCGTACCGTTTGCAAAGTACGGCGGCAGGCCAGTCTGTCAGGCACCGACGACAGCGCTCCCCTGCCGTTCCGGCTCCAGGGAGTTCGCGGTTCCATCGGTTCTCAGGCGAGAGCGAAGGAGAGAGCGTCTACCTCAACCTAGTCCGCAATCTCGGCAGCGGTGGTGGGTGACGGCTCATGCGTCGAGTGGACGGCGCAGGTGAAGAAGCGCACGGGCAGAGCCGGCTCTGGTGTAAGCGCGGTCCGCTTGCTGGGACAAGTGGAGCCATGTCCACTTTATTCGTCACCAGCGTTAGCGCGCGACTGTAGGGTAAGTATGGTACGCAATCCACTTTTCTTGCCACTTCCTGATGTCTTTGCGAAGTTATTGTGTAACAATGGGAGCACTACACGAAAAACATTTACTTCAAGCCCACCGCCTTCTTTGTTCGCGACAAATCCAACCCGACGCATGACTGCGCGCCTCTGGAGAAAGCAGGAGAGCCATTACAAACAACGCCAGGGTCCTCGCAATAAATTCCCTGCCGCTCATCGCGTACTCGCAATAAATTCGGGCGAGCGGCAGGTCATTCTGGCAGGCGCTGGGACGACGCACGTCATCCGGGCGGCTCGGATCGAGGCCGTGTCGTCATCAGGCCCGTCTGCAGGACCGCTCAGCTCGGGCGGCGGCCGGCGCGGAGACGGCCTCCGCCTTCCGTCCGGCGGTGCAGGAGGAGTGCGTGCCGCCAGACGGGCCGCGTCACGGCCGGCCGTGGCCGCCGCCAAAGAAAACCGGCGCGCGTATCGGACCGGGCGCGCGTATCGGACCGGGCGCGCAGCGATCGCGGCCACCTGGGCCCGCTGCCAGGGGACCGGGGCCGGAGGACCGGCTGGACAGGCAGACAGGACTGCGGAGGGCGCCGGACAGGGAGAGAGGCGCCCTCTGCCGAACACGCCGGACCAGCGGACCGGCCGCACAAGAACAGGGTCCCCTACCGGAGACGCTGGCGCCGCGGACGCCCCGCTCGTGCAGGGCGAGCGTTCGCCGGACAGGGAAAGAGGCGCCCTCTGCCGACGACGCCGGACCAGCGGACCGGCCGCACAAGAACAGGGTCCCCTACCGGAGACGCTGGCGCCGCGGACGCCCCGCTCGCGCAGGGGGAGCGTTCGCCGGACAGGGACGTTGAAGCCCCCACCATTCTGGTCTCATCAGAGCGACGGTCCGCGCACGTTGTCCACAGCCAGTGGAATCGACACAAATTGGTGCAGTATAGCGCCCAACGAGTTCTCAATGCAATATGCGGCTATTTGAACATAAACAAGATACTGCGCCACACCATAACGCAACGCGGTTGCACAAAACTGACTTCAACGCTGATGGCATATTTTGCGCGCGTATCCCTGGCAAATGTGCTAGATGAGTTTATAGGTATCTGAATGGGATTTTTCCAACAATGTCAGCGTACTGTAAACTGAGATTAAAGATCTTCAGGCTACCTAGAAACTACCGTGTTTTTTTTTTTACAACCGCACCAACTTCGCAGAAGCGCGCGAGCCGACAGTTACGACCAGGGTCGTACGCGCGTAGTAGTCCCCAGGGGCACGTGTGCCCGCATCCAATGTATTCATATGCCTTGCTACGTGTGCATGTGTGTGATGCATGTTGACAATTAAAAATTCGAGGTAAATCAGTAAAAATAAACAAATCGAGAACAGATGACGATGATGTACGTCATGCGATGAGCTTCGCGCACCTGCGACGAGCTAACCTGGGATTGTAGTGAAACCTTCTAAGTCGCCCCCCCCCCGCCGTGAATCCCTGCGTACGCCCCTGGTTGTGACGGCACGTGACTGCACACACAGAATCGCCTCAGACTGTCATTCTATAGCACATGGAGTACCTCCTCCATGACCCACTTCGGCTTGCTTAATGATCTGCTTCGCACTACCCTTGCATCGCTGCTCCTCGTGCCGTCTTCGCTTCCTTTCTGCGTCGCTCACCTGCGAGACGTATTTGGGGTCGATGTCGGACAGTTCGCGGGCCCGCCGGCAGCGGGGAGTGGCGGCGCCCGACGGCGGAGAGCCGACATTGAGGGCGTGCCGCCGCTGCCGAACGCCGCCTGAGACCTGCAGCGGGCGCGAGCGGGTCAGGACATCAATCGTCGGCCCCGCACGGCGCGGGGTCGCCGCGATGATGGACACAGTCAACACCGCGCGGCGGCGAGTACGCATCACAAAATTATCGCAAACACCGCGAATGCGAACACAGAAATACCCCCGCACAACAGACAGTAAACACAGCACGCATCCGGAACCGGACGAGAATCACCTGATCATAGCGTAGGGCAAGCCCGCACATGGATCCATCACACGCACGAGCACTCTTGCGCGACTGAGCAGGGCGGCCGATGCCCACACTGCCGCCGGCATCAGCGACTGGAGTCGGATGCCGTCGCCACAACAAACCGACCTCCGCCGCCCGCCCCACCGGCAAAAAACGTACAGGCGCACAGCTGGTCGGCATGTCCGGATGTGACAAAGTCGGCCGCTATTATGTGAATCACGCCTAAAGACCCAGGGACAGACCGCCGGGTGCCAAAGGACAAAGGGTCGTTAAATGAGGGCCGACACGCCGTTGTGCTGGCTTCAGCGCGTACTTAAGCCGAAGTATTCCCATCGCGCCGGAGAAAAACTGCAAAAGCATCATCCATTCATCCATCGACTGCGTTTCGTAGCGCGTAGGCCCAGACACATGTAAAACCAATCGCATGAGATCGTCAACAAAACGAACATCAGCGTAATGTCCCCGAATCAAGTGAACAGTTCACGAGAGCTTCTTTAAATGATCAGCAATACCTTGGCCAATGTCACACAGTGAACATAAACGGCAAGGCCTGGTAACCCGCCGCTCCATGGTTGGCGGCTTACGTCCGACGGTCACTGCCCGCTGGTTTCTCGAACAGACAACCGCATCACTTCCTGCCTTATCGCTCGAACCTCCCATAACGTACGGCAACTTCAGTCGACTGCGCTCGGCATCAGTTTATGGACAGTCGCCAGCCAAGCGGCTAGGGCCACAGCGCCGCCACCCCCCCCGGACAGAGCGGGGCGTGGGTGGTCAGCACAGCCAGGGCGCCAGTTCATAAGGGTCCAAGGCCGACCTCTCGCGACATCGGAGGTGCACCGCCCTCCAAAAACCAACGTCCGCCAATGTTTCAGACCTGGGGTCCACCAACTTGTGCCGGTTGGCGACCGCGGGGCGCCGCGACGCCGCGTTTGACCGCGGAAGGGCGGCAGGCGGCGGTGCATCCTGACCCTCCCCCCCCCCCCGCCCCTGCCCAAGTATGACGCTGGTCTGGCTACGCCGTGGCAATGGAGATGTCGCTGCCACTTGAGGTCAGAACCCGGAAATGACGTCAGTGAACCGGACGTGACGTCACCTGCCCGGGGGACGCGCGTCTGCCGTGACGAAACAACAGAAAGATCGCGCAACACATCGTCGCTAAAACGAAATCACAAGGCGACGCTTGGTCGCAGAAGCAAACGCCCGGAAATCGACAGTCGCTGGGGCTATGACAAAACTTAACCGCATGACCGTCACTGTGATGCGCATTCCAAACATGAAATCATTCCCGGGGAGATGTCAGCTTTCGGCCGGCGTCGAAGCCGATAATGTTCCATTCGAAGCTGATAATGTTGATAATGTTCCGTCGAAGCTGATAATGCTCCGCGATGCATTCGGCGGCCGTAACACAACTCACTCAACCCGGTAACATCCAAGCCCGATCCTCTCATTAGACTGATCCTCACTTTAGACTGAATTCCCAAGTTCAGCACAAAGACTGAACTTGGGGCTTCGTCAGCTCCACGGTAGGAGAGCTTACAGAGCCCTCCCCCTTACTTACGGAGCCCCCCCCCCCCCCACCCCCTCCGGCCCCCCCCCACCTCCCCCCCGCCCACAATCCGACGGCCTAGGTTTCCGCATGGGTACGTCGGATGAATAGATTCGTCTCAGCGGTGCTTTCACGATGCAATGTCGTAAAAGTGGACCACGTACTCTCCTTTGAGCTAAGAATAGATTACGGTGTCCTGTACATTACAGCGTTTTTTGAGACAATGGATTGAACCAATGGACGAAGGGGTCATAACTAGCTGCCATGTGCACCATGAAATGGAAAACGGAATGGAACGAAAGTTTTTCTCATGACATCGGTCTGGCAAGCCGCCTGAGCCGTACCCCCCGTTTTACGCACCACGCTTGCCGTCAGGCCCGTGACAGACCTAGACCCACACATGCCTGGAGCTCATCCACCAAGATAAGAGCCCGAACGTGCCTCTCCCCGAAGGGCAAACGCGCCCCATTCACGAGCGTCCTCGCTCCGCCGCCTACCCCGAACGGCACGGTCGGGCTTGGCAGCCAGCCTGCGTCCCGGTGTCGCCCCCCCCCCCCCACGCCAATCTCCCGCCTCTCGCAGTGGGGTGAGCCCCCCACTTAACTGTCCTCGCTCCTGCCAGCGGGCCTGGCCATCGCATCCGAGACTTGGCGACGAAGCCGAGCCCATCCGTGCCATCCCTGCACTGGGTCAGCCGCCTTCATGACCGCCCCCCCTCCCCCCTCCCCGCCGCGCGGGGCTGGCGGCGTGCCCGAGACTGGCCCCCGCCAGGGTCTGATCCCATTACCGGCGCCACGTCCCGGTCCAGAGCCGCCAGCGGACGACATGAGCGCGCACAGTGCCTCCAGTGCGGTCATGAATCGATCCCACCCGGAACAAATCCTGCGGCGTGGACCGCCGCGCCACACTGCGGCTGGCCGCGCCCGTACTGACAGTTCCGCCGGCGCCGATGGATGGCGCTGGCGGCGGCGCGCCCGGCCGGCCGGTACCGTTTTAACCGACTCACGCGGCCGTGAATCAGGCAAATACGAAAACAATGCCGTAAATCACAGCCGCGGGCGCGCGTAACTCACGGCGGTTGGGCAGCATGCGTGAGGCGTGCGCGGCGCGGAGAGCGGACGAGGCCGGGCGGCGCGGCGGCGGCAAGCGCGCGGACCGGGCAGGGCCGGGCCCGGCCGACTTCTGGGCGTACAACGTGGCGACGCGAACGTCTCCCCACATTCCTGACGGCTGAGTTGCCGGACTACTATCCGTTTGGCCACACTCGTGCCAGCCTCGCGTGACCGGCGGCTAGCCTCACTCCGCGGCATAATCAAGCCTACACCCCGTCTGGTCTCGTTCTGACGGCCGAACTTCAAAGCTGAAGCAGCATTAGCCGCTCCTCCACGCATCCGTTTACCATTCAACGTCTGGACGCTCAGCACCACCGGTGTCAGGCGATATGTACACGTGCACGCGAGGCACCACATGTGCCTCCAAACAAGTCAGCAGCCTGACGATTTCTACGCAAAATTATCTAATCAACAGCAGCAACGTTCATCACGGGC